ACACTTCAGTGTCTTCGCATTCCAACTACAATATATTTTTGACAATAAATCTCCCAACATTCACGTAAACCTATAAAGGCATGATGACATTTTCTAATGTCTCAATCACACAATCACTCACCAGTGTAAAATCTCTTCACAGTGAAGACATTGCTCGATAACTAAGATTATAAATAATCTCTAATGATCAGTAAGCAACTAGACACTTCAGTGATGAAGAATAACGTGAGTTTACAATCAAGCTACACATAGAACGAAGAATTGTGAAAAAATTAATTCGAAAAACTACTGATGCTATTGAACACTCGAGTATTTAGTGAGAATCCGCTTTCGTTACATAAGAGATTACTGGGAATCGATAGGGTAATGACAAATAAGATTGATATAATTAATGCATGACATGCAAAATGACCATATTCAATATTTGAAAACGTCAACTTACTGACCTGTTACAGAAACGTGTTTCGAATAGTTCACTAATGTAATGACATTATACTGTACATATTACAGTATAGAGGATATTAAATGAAATCAAAGGTAGGTTTAAATATTTCGTGCATGAATTGAAGTACAATGGTAAAAATAAATCAATTCACTTAAAATATCTGAGTTAAATGGTCTTCCAATTCATAATAAAATCACAGTACCTGATGAGAAACAAACCGCTGAAATACGAACTAAATTGTCTGCAATGCAACATCAACCTTCATAAAATATTTCCATTTTCCAACGTCAAAAATAATACGAACTAATGTAAACTGAGAAAACTACGCGAAACATCTAGGTGAAAATACGCAACATACACTTTATAATATTCTGTTGTCATTTCATCCATACATTACATGATGGATATCAACAATTCAAAAGTAAATAAAATCACACAATGTCGAGCACGTCTCACACATAATATCAATCCATGAAATGAATTAAAACGGTCTAACCGATTACAACTATGTACCTGAAAATCATATCATATATTCAGTGGAACAATCCTTTTATTCACAAAATCCAGATCAGGAAGATAAAACAATGCAAGTAACAGTATATGTATATTTATTGACTAGGGTACAGACATTTAGCTGTAGTCATCAATAGCTGAATCAGTGCAAAAGTATTACAGAGCCTAACAGCAGTCATAATTCGTCACATAACACTCATCTCAGCATCATTTTTTCGTAATGTTCACATCGTCTACAACAGGCTCGTCCACCACAGGCTCGTCCACCACTTCCACATCCTCCGTTTTCTTTTCACTCTTCGCTCTTACCGGATGGACCTTACGATCGTCCTCCTCATCCTCATCCTTTTCATCCTTTTCATCCTTATCATCATCATGATTATCTTTATCTGCATTCTTCACTGATTTATCAACCTTCGCATGCTTCTCCTTTTTAGCAGTAGCGGTAGTAGTGCCATTTGCAGCAGCACGAACATCATCATATAACACAGTCATGCAGAGTAGAAACAGTGTCAACTTGAGGAACATGATAGAATAGTTTAACAGATTGAACGTTAACTACAAACGAAATGATTTCACCACTACACATAAGCATATATATGTACGTGTATATCATATGGACACACCGAATCGATGGTAAATCGAACCAACTAATGTTAGTGTATGGAACGTGCCATTGAACATTTTTGATCAAAATATCTGAAAACATTTATTGGAAAGCATAGTTGTCATTCTCATGAATCGATTCGACAATCAAAAATACTTTGTCACCCTACAATGATTTTCTATTGTTTTTCCACTAGTAAGTTCAGTCTTTTGTTCTGAATAGAAATCGTCATGGTAAGGCGTGCTGAAAAGACTTTTGGCGTCAGTATTTTATGCTGAATATTTGATGTTTAGTTCATGTCTACGGTTTCTTCAGATTAGACGATTGTGCGTGTGGTCAGTTGGTTGAGGTTCGTTCAACGTTACTGTAGGATGTAATTTAATATATTACACATTGTTCAATGGAGTACTTTGAAAATCTTTTTAATAGAACACCCATGCACAGACATTAATGTTCTAGTGTTGAAACGAAAGTATCGTCTTCGAACTTGTTTCTAAATATACTAGATCACGAGAGGTCGATGAACCACATTACCGATCAAAAATTTTCAAGAAGTTTCTTTCCTTTGAATTACTTAATTAAAGTGATATTAAAAAATCTTAGTCCCCATTGGTAAGCCGACCAACAATTTATAGACATCAATATGATTATGTAACAGAAAGTCATGAGAAAGCGAAATAGAGAAGGAAGAGCGTTGAAAAATTATTAAGGATTATTTATTAAACATTTATCATCATGTCAGAGAAGAGCTAGTCACGCTTTTCTTCTGCTTACATCGGTCTGGTGGAAAACATATAATGCCTTGCACTTGAACTTGTGAAGACTTTTCTTTCTTGTAATCGTAAGTTCCGAGAAATATGTTCAGAAAAACTAATAGAAACTATTTCAGTTCTTCCCACATACTTGCTACTTGAGGTACATTTGCATTCATATCTGTAATTGAAGTTGACTTTGGATTTATATTTGCAATATTCATTTTGTTTAATGATATTTTACATGCCTCTCGATTGCTTTGCTACTTCAACCGCTCGCATCCAGTCAAGATGATCACACTGAAGTATGAAAGAATTAATTAATTTGGATTTTTTATAAACCTTAATGTATAGTGGAAAAACGATGAAAGTTGATTATATATATAGGGAAACACCTCATAAAAATTGGGTGCCCCAAATTATCAAACAAAATGAATATGACATAAACTAAACATCAAATATTCAGCATAAAATACTGACGCCAAAAGTCTTTTCAGCACGCCTTACCATGACGATTTCTATTCAGAACAAAAGACTGAACTTACTAGTGGAAAAACAATAGAAAATCATTGTAGGGTGACAAAGTATTTTTGATTGTCGAATCGATTCATGAGAATGACAACTATGCTTTCCAATAAATGTTTTCAGATATTTTGATCAAAAATGTTCAATGGCACGTTCCATACACTAACATTAGTTGGTTCGATTTACCATCGATTCGGTGTGTCCATATGATATACACGTACATATATATGCTTATGTGTAGTGGTGAAATCATTTCGTTTGTAGTTAACGTTCAATCTGTTAAACTATTCTATCATGTTCCTCAAGTTGACACTGTTTCTACTCTGCATGACTGTGTTATATGATGATGTTCGTGCTGCTGCAAATGGCACTACTACCGCTACTGCTAAAAAGGAGAAGCATGCGAAGGTTGATAAATCAGTGAAGAATGCAGATAAAGATAATCATGATGATGATAAGGATGAAAAGGATGAAAAGGATGAGGATGAGGAGGACGATCGTAAGGTCCATCCGGTAAGAGCGAAGAGTGAAAAGAAAACGGAGGATGTGGAAGTGGTGGACGAGCCTGTGGTGGACGAGCCTGTTGTAGACGATGTGAACATTACGAAAAAATGATGCTGAGATGAGTGTTATGTGACGAATTATGACTGCTGTTAGGCTCTGTAATACTTTTGCACTGATTCAGCTATTGATGACTACAGCTAAATGTCTGTACCCTAGTCAATAAATATACATATACTGTTACTTGCATTGTTTTATCTTCCTGATCTGGATTTTGTGAATAAAAGGATTGTTCCACTGAATATATGATATGATTTTCAGGTACATAGTTGTAATCGGTTAGACCGTTTTAATTCATTTCATGGATTGATATTATGTGTGAGACGTGCTCGACATTGTGTGATTTTATTTACTTTTGAATTGTTGATATCCATCATGTAATGTATGGATGAAATGACAACAGAATATTATAAAGTGTATGTTGCGTATTTTCACCTAGATGTTTCGCGTAGTTTTCTCAGTTTACATTAGTTCGTATTATTTTTGACGTTGGAAAATGGAAATATTTTATGAAGGTTGATGTTGCATTGCAGACAATTTAGTTCGTATTTCAGCGGTTTGTTTCTCATCAGGTACTGTGATTTTATTATGAATTGGAAGACCATTTAACTCAGATATTTTAAGTGAATTGATTTATTTTTACCATTGTACTTCAATTCGTACACGAAATATTTAAACCTACCTTTGATTTCATTTAATATCCTCTATACTGTAATATGTACAGTATAATGTCATTACATTAGTGAACTATTCGAAACACGTTTCTGTAACAGGTCAGTAAGTTGACGTTTTCAAATATTGAATATGATCATTTTGCATGTCATGTATTAATTATGTCAATCTTATTTGTCATTACCCTATCGATTCCCAGTAATCTCTTATGTAACGAAAGCGGATTCTCACTAAATACTCGAGTGTTCACTATCACAGTGTCAAATTACTTTTCCCTTATTACGTCTGTTCGATAGCATCAGTAGTTTTTCGAATTAATTTTTTCACAATTCTTCGTTCTATGTGTAGCTTGATTGTAAACTCACGTTATTCTTCATCACTGAAGTGTCTAGTTGCTTACTGATCATTAGAGATTATTTATGATCTTAGTTATCGATAAATGTTTTCACTGTGAATTGATAACCTATCATCTCCTTTTCAATTATTTGGGAGTTTCCTGGGTCATTGACTCAACAATATTTGTTATGTGTATTCACATAAACTTTAAACCAAGTTCATGTTGTATACTCATAGTAATTGCTACATCTCATTCTAATTTGAAATTATATAAACAGATTAATTCTCTGCTTTTCCTCTTGATTGAAGGGTTGATTTTCAGAATGATTTTAATGAATCTTTCCTGTTTCTTGTGATCATTAGAAAGGGAAGTGAATAGTTGTTCTTTTTGGCATTAATTGTCCATTGGTGTCTCTTATTATTTCAATAATAACTGTAAATTCTCAATCTATTAATTCGTTACTCCATTCATGTTTGAAGGAAGCTTTTCATGTGAGTCGGTTTGTCGTTTATTTCACCGAAACGAGAATGATTTCGCTTATTGACAATACAGGTAAATCAATACAATTTATTTATTGTTTATCTTAGAAAATAACCCTGTATTGTAACATGTCAAATGACTATTTCTTCCCATGAAATCACATATTTATTACATCAATGTGTACAAAAATACAGTTTCTACGTAAACACAATAAACACAACACACACAATGCACACTAATGAATAGAGATGTTTTTTCATAGATACAAATTCAAGTTATCATATTTCAACTTGTTACTGACTATGTGTTTTTTTAGAATAGTTTAGATGTTGCAGATTGTAGCATAATTCGGTGGGATTTCATCTGTAAGATAACCCAACTGTTTTAGTGCCAAACAATTCTCATTCATGAATTCGATGTGTTCTTCTGATAGGAGTGAATTTGCTTTTGACCATGCATCTAGAGAATTGTTGTGAACTAGTTGATCTGTTCGACTGGAGTCAGTTCCATATCTGCGGATTTGATATGTGAAATAACGTGAAACAAATTAGATTGTAGTGCAAGAATAAATTATATATGTTCAAAGTAAATCATGTCTAAACTAAACTGTTTTGCCTTGAATATTCCTGTTTCGTAAGTAGTTTCTCCCATACACGTGACACCTGATTGCTTTGTAATGATTCATTTGAGTCTGATTTGATGTTGTTTTCAAAATGAAGGACGTATTATTAAAAACTATCTATTTATTGTAACTGTCCATGATGGAATGAGGAGAGTTTGCATAACGTGATTTGAGTTTCTAGAAGTTAGTTTGATAGTATGATTGTGTGCTAAAATCACACTCATATTCGTAGGATGGTGCCAGTCTGCACAAGTAATGTCGCATATCCATGATTGAAGTAGTGATGAAACTGTGGTGAATAGCTACTGAATTGTAAACCACTTAACCGTGTTTAGTGAAAATGGACATCATGAAATGATTTATCAAATGACATAGAAAAACGAATGTTGGATTTGAAAACTGGTTGGAAATAAATATAAATGATGCTTTTCTATATTTTACTGAAATAACCTAATTTCCTACGTGCATTTCTTCCACATACACGTTAATGTAACGAAAGCTATGGTGAGAAACATGACTTGTGAAAGCTTTGATTATTGATATGTTTGCTCACCCTCTGTTCGTCATCATCATGGCTGTGACTAATGTGTGATACAAATGACATATTTTCTCCACTTCTCCAGCGATTTCCAAATTTTTCGGTATTCCTTTTGCTTTTTGCTTTTACATATTAATAAAAACATTCCTTTCTACATTAATCAGTAACTGTTGGTTTATTGGAATTCTCATCAACATTAAGCGAACTTTCTAACTGGTTGTCATGTCATCTGCAAATTTCACAACTACCTATTTCAGTCCATTCGATTTATTGATTAGTACCTTTACCGCCTCATCTTTTAGGCATTTCATGAATCATTCAAACTCGAAATTTCTTGTTTAATATAGCTGAATATGATGTTGAACAATATCTTCTCCCTATTCTACAATGTTTGAGATATCCATGTGACAATTTCATCTCCCACTTAGAAAGTTTCTATCTTATTTGCTTCAGTATAATTTCTCATATGCAAAAAGCATTCTACTGACTTATCATTTTAATATGAACTTATCAAGAGAATATTTTACATACCTAAGTAGTTTTTCATCCCATGGCAATTCGAGAAAATCTAAAAAGGAAAAAAGTGTAATTGTTAATTAATGTATAAGCAATCGTAAACGATATAAGGCTGAAGAGATTTTGAACTGGTGAGTGAGCGAGTGAGTGAAACATTAGAAAATGTCGTCATGTTTTTATATGATAATGTGAATGTGGGGAGATTTATGGCCAAAAGTATTTTGTAGTTGGAATACGAAGACACTGAAATGTGTACTATTCAGATTAAGCAAACATAGCTGGAACTACTGTCATGGGAAAACTTTAATAATAAACACGGATTTATGGTTAGAAATATAGGACTGACTAGAATTATAGAAGTGATGAAAAGATGAGTCAAGTATTTTGGAATTACTTTATGGAAAATAATCTACTATTAAAAGAACATGGGCAGGTGGTTCAAATCAAACCGAGTTTAAATTGAAGAACATGAGGGAGATTTAGTCTAGCAAATATTCAGAAATATGTTCGTAAAAATTAAATGTAGTGAAGTAAATCTTGACGTACTTTCGTTTATGGTGAAGAAGTAACTCATTAAGATTTCCAAATGACACAAATTGATAAATACAACTGAGACTACTGATTTATAACAAGTAGAATATCGATGAAACAGAAATAAGTACGGGAAATAATTTTCGAAGAGGGAAAGTGAAAAACATTGTTAGGAAGATTTATTTATTTTGGGATGGAACTGTTCAATATGAAAGTGATTCGCATTTAAAGGTGTGTTTTTCATTGGCACTCTTTGGTTTGAATTGCTCATTTCATTCAGTTTGCTGAAATCTGATTTAAAAATCCTCAATGTTATGATTAATGCTAAACGTGTTTGTTTGTTGAAAATTTGATGATCTCATCATTATACTCTTCCAAAATGTCCAGTTTGCAGTTTGGCTGTGTTCTTCTGTAATTAGGTGGATATTGAGCAGGTATATCAGTTGGATTTACTTTAATGATTGAATGTAATCATTGTTGCTTTCTCTGATTTTATAGATAAATAAAATGAATTCATTGACAGAGAGGAGATTAATTGTGATTGTAATAAGTTGTTATGCCTTAAATTGTGATACAGAAGTTATATTTCTGGCTACTATAAACTATGGAATCTATATATTGAAATGCCTTTCCTGATTATCAGCTGACGAAACGATAATTCTCAATTGAGATATCGAATGTTATGGTGAAGAATATTTTGTGGAGATTGCTGTGTTTTAATATTTGAGTTCATGAGTCGATTGAATCTGGATTTCTATGATAAACCGGAATGCACTGAATGGCCGTTTCGTTTTATCATGGACCTTCTCGGCATTGCGCATCCATAACCCGCACACGTGACTGCAATTCTCTACATTCGGTCTTGCTCGCGAACGTTTGAATTCCAAAGCACTGTGCCGGCGTCTAATTTTTTCAGTGTATGATTTCAATCAATCCATGATATTGTGCGCCCGTCCATTATTGCCTTTTGTAGACAACTTCCTTCACAATAGACACGGTTGAAATCTTCTGGTCACGTTTTCTCACTAGAACTCCATGAAATAAATCTTGAAGACAGTCACTAGTGAGCACATGATCAGTGTTATCGGATAGCGTGTTATGTGGAGATTGTAGTAGTTTAATAGTTAAACTCATGGATAGCGGCTTAATTTCTTTCATTGGTTGAAGTTATAGATAAACACTATTAGATGCCGGTTCAGTAGACTAGATGTTAATCGTTCGTGCGCGAGACCGAATGTCCCATTTGTAGCATTTTGTTGTGCGGGATCGTTGATGAGCAGTTCTGAAGAGTCCCATACCAAGACGAAATGGCTGTCCAGCTTTCCAGGTTTTCAATATTGGTGTGGCTTTACTAGACTCATGAATACTGAAAGCTATAAATATTAATGACATACACTTAATAATGTACTTTGGATTAAGTAATCAGATGCCCAAATTAAATTGGTGGGATTCTAAGCAGAATATATATATATATATATATATATATATATATATATATATATATAGTTGGTGATTGTTTTTATGTATACTTAGTAAAGTTACGAAATATAAATATGTACTTACGGAGAACTTTCTGGATTTCTCTGAGTGGATTCAATACTAAACATTCATAACGTACAGTTAAACACTTTTCATTACCAATGTTTTCACAATCCTCTAATATTTGTGTTGTTTCGTCATCCCAAGTTAAAATTGCTTCTGTGATATTTTCAGATGTATAATTAGAATTGATGTTTCTACTGAAAAATAAACAATGAAGGAATGAATGTTGATTTTATTTGTAGATTTGTCTTTATTAAACATTATCATTCGATTGATAATTATGGGGAATATTAGTGGATAAAATAATTCTATTATTATGTAATTATAATAAATATAATTATGAATTTGCAATGACTAAACGCTTTAGATTAACAGCTAATGAAACTGTTAATTATGTAATATATCATACCTAAATGATACAGTCACTTTAATGGAGCTTTGTTCTCTGAACTGGATGGTTTTGGTCAAGACCAACAAAATCACCCATCTGAGCTACAAATCTTCTCCACCATCTCAAGATACAATGACATTTTATCATAAGCATGTTTATATAAGTTGTGCTGCGTTATATTCTTGAACATCGCATGTTATTCATAACGAACCCCAAAGGAATATTAAATTCAGGGCTGAATCTCACTGTGTAGAATGTGTAACTCAACTTATAGAAAATGGAACGTCACAAATGTAAACTCATAACTCTGTAAAATCGATCAGCTATATGAGATTAATTACCACTGTGCTACAATTGGTCATTTTATATGTATATATAAAGCAAATTAAATTTACTGGAAAACTTACGCTATTTCTGAAGCAATAGTGGCTCTTCCATCTTGGACGATGTGAATAAACTTTCCTTTTGGAAACAAGATATTTAAGTCTTCAAGATAATCAAATGATTCTAGATCATTGTGGCATAGTCTAGGTGTCCTTGGACCTATTTCTTTGATTATTGTTGCAATAAATGCAGCCACAGCATTGTTTAACACGGTTGCAGTGATACCAGATTCTACTAATCGCTCCATTGAATGTAGTCTGTTCTTTCTGTATCGCAATAAGAATTTTGTTATAATTGGTTTAGGTCTGCAACGAACCATTGAATGAGTATCTAGAATATTTCCCATTAGATCAGTACCTGGAAAAATATTATAGGGTAGTGATCAGATTAACGTCTGATTTCCCAAGGCTTATAACTTCTTAATGGTACTGATATTAAAACGTTTTGTAGCGAATAACTATCGATCCTTCGCCTGGAGCCCATCTGGGGTTACTGCCGGTCTCAAGCTCGGATAAAGGAGGAGGGTTGAACATAAGGTTAGCGACCTCATCCCATAGAAAACTAACTCACCAAAAACACTAACCAGATGAATGAAGGATTGCTCAGAACAAAGTTGGGCAGAGAATGCTGGTGAGTGTCTGTGCTTCTCCATGAGGAGTAAGAGGAGTAAGTAATGAATTTCAAATATTATCATATTGGTCATAACTAGTTAAATCAATGCATGTCATTATTGAATTGATATATTAACAAATAAAATAGTATGGCAGTATTTACACTTTTATCAATAACATAATGAATAAAACTAATCTACCTGTATTTGTATGACCTCCAATAAATATAAATGGTAAATCAGAAACATTATATAGATTACTTTTATTTTCTATCCTTTTATATAAAGTTTGACAATGATGTTCAATGAAATTGAGTTGATTCAATATAAAAAATCCTAATATTATCATAATTACATATCCAATAATCCAATATAATATAGTATAATGAATTTGACATGGATTAGATATGAACTCTATGAAAATTGTTTTCAAACAAATAAGAGAAATATTCATGAATATTATAGATCTATACAATAAAATGATAATTTTATCAATGGTTAAAACCATGTGTCAGTTGAAGCTAGACCATCATGGAAAACCTGGAAGCACTGGACGGCCATTTCGTCCTATTGTGGGACTCCTCAAGTAGTGCGCATCCACGACCTCGAACCCAGAACCTAATGGTTTCGCGCGCGAGCACTTAACCACTAGACCACTGAGCCGGCATCCAACGGTGTTTATGTCTAACTTCAACTAGTCCACGAAATCGAGCAACACATACACCATTGTCTTCAGTGAGTTACTATCTCACAACAGACCTGGTTGAACTCCACTGGTCACTACTTCTCACTAGAACTCCAGGATATACCTCGTGAAGCCCGTCACAAAACGGCCGTCCAGTTCTTCCAGGTTTTCCATGGTGGTCTAGCTTCAACCGACTCATGATCTTAACCATTGAAATTACTATAATATCCATAAAACACATCTGATGATAATTTTATGTTTGGTATATATTACTGATCATTTAAATCACACGGAAAAGACTTTCATATATTATAGATGATAAATTCAGTATTCAGATTTCATTTATGAATTATGTCATTCATCTTGTGGCTATTGCTCTAGTACTTCCTGATACACACATAAGAATAAGAATTCTTTCAAGGGAGGTATTTGGTCGTCGCTTCCTAGTATTTGCTACCATATCCTTTTACTTTGTCTTGGACCTGATAGATTAGGCCTCTGATTTTATTAGATACAGGGCGAACAGTATTTCAGCTAACGTTTCTTTTGTACGACACCACGTATATACCCTTTGCATATATCTGCATACATGAATTACATAGAACAAAGAACGTCTGCAGTTCTTATACATAAATATACATATCGCATAGCCTGATGAAGTTAAGTGAGCCCCGACTTGGAAACTGATTTAATCAAGGATAAAACGGAGTGGATAATTAGTCCTATCTCAGTCAACCGCTTAAGTTGGCTGGCACGTTAGTTCCTACTATCTTGCAGAGCCATGACAGAGCCTTAAGTTGGATTTTACTGCCTACCTATAAAAAAAGATAAGTATTTAAAAATAACCGTGTTTATATAGCGCTTTACACAAGGCGGCTTCAAATTAACCTATTCGTTATCGAGTGATTATTAACACCAATTCAATATATAGGTATAGGTCAGCAGCAGTATGTCTCAATATACACAAAGGGAAAAGAAAGATTCTCTGATACAACACAGCATGCAATGGAATCACACTTGACAGAGAAGCTTTGGAAGATGTTAAAAGTTTTACATAACTGGACAGCATCATTGGTGAACACGGTGGATCTGATGCAGATGTGAAGGCGCGAATCGGCAAAGCAAGAGCAGCATATTTACAACTGAAGAACATCTGAAACTCAAAACAGCTGTCAACCAACACCAAGGTCAGAATTTTCAATACAAATGTCAAGACAGTTCAACTGTATGGGGGCGGGAAATTGGAGAACTACGAAAGCCATCATCCAGAAGATACAAATGTTTATTAACAGTGGTTTACGCAAAATTCTTCGGATCCATTTGACAGATACTATCAGCAACAACCTACTATGGAAGAGGACAAACCAGATCCCAGCGAAGGAAGAAATCAGGAAGAAGCGCTGGAAGTGGATAGAACGCACATTGAGGAAAGAACCCAACTGCGTCACAAGGCAACCCTCACCTTGAGTCCTCAAGGCCAAAGGAGAAGAGGAAGACCATAGTACACATTACGCCGGGAAATAAAGATAGACATGAGAAAAATGAACAAGAATTGGATAGAACTAGAAAGGAAGGCCCAGGTCAGGGTACTTTATAAAAAGCTGGTCGGTGGCCTATGGTCCAAGTGGGGGAGGGTAACAGGCGTAAGTAAGTAAGTAAGTAAGTAAGTAAGTAAGTAAGTAAGTAAGTAAGTAAGTAAGTAAGTAAGTAAGTAAGTAAGTAAGGTCTCGGGTTCGAATCTCGCTAGGCGGAATCATGGATATGCACTGCTAAGGAGTCCCACAATAGGACGAAACGACCGTCTATTACTCCCAGGTTTTCCATGCTGGTCTAACTTCAAATGACACATGATCTGAACTATTAAAATATACATTTATCAAGTAACAACAATAAGACATACTTAAAAAAGAAATACTATATCATCATCTGATCAAGTTAGTTATTGAAATGAAACAAAAAGAAGGAAGAAACAACATAAAGTTCATTTAAAATCAAGTATAATACAATACATGACTTACTTTTCATGTAAATTTACTTAACTACTAATTAATGATAATAAATTTCCACTGTATATCTAACACAATGTGTATGTTTTTTTAATTTTTCTCTTAACAACGACTACAGGGTATTATTTTTTAACCAATCACTTTATATTTATCCATAAAACAGGGTCATTTCAATAAATTTTTTTAAAATTTTTTTCTTCTTCTACATAGTTGAAAAATAAACAAATTCAAATATTCATTGAAATCATAAGTCCATTGAAGTTAGACCACTATGGAAAACTTGGGAAATGACTAAAATCTCTACAAAACCCCTTCTGATCAAATATTTATGTTTATTTACACAGAATTAATTAGGTGACATTTTGTCTTATTCTGTCTTGTTTTTATTTTTGATTATCTGTCGAATGTTCAAATAATTCAATGAAATCACCATAACAATTAGAATGAAACTAGAAAAAAACAATTAATCCTTATCAATTATATATTATTCATGACCTAGACAATCATAGAATACCTGGGAACACTGGAAAGCTATTTCGTCTGAATATGTTCTATTAATTTATTTTAATCAATATAAAGTATAATTATTCAAATAAAAGGTGTGGTCTTACTTGTCAAATATTATGGATAGTGACTAACAGTAGAATCTAGGACACGAGTTTCATCCTATTTGGGAAAATTCAAGCAAAGCAATACCAAGAGAACTAAAATATCAATTATAAACAAAAATTAAAAAAAATTAAAAAAATAAAAATAAATAATTTTGATTGGTTAGAATTCGAAGAACATTCTAACCTATTGAATAGTAAATTCATACAATATGATTGGAATGATTATCTTTTTCTTTTCTTTTCTCTTCTACCTTTTTTTTCTTTTTTAACGAAATATTCGGCATAAAAAATTGTTTTTTTCGTTAGTTTTACTCTTAAAACGTATTGTCATATATCCAGTAAACGAATAAATATAAATGAAAAGTAAGTTAATAAACTGTATCATATTCTGTTATTGAATTGATGAGTTCATTAAAGTTAGAACATCATGGAAAATCTGGAAGCACTGGACGGTGTATTCACGATTCCATTCGTAGAATTCGAACACAGGAACTATCGTTTTCGTGCTTCCAGGTTTACCATGGTAGTCTACCTTTAATCAACTCATAAATTTAACTATAAAAATTACTAAAACCACCATAAAACCCCCTTCTGATAATGTGATATATTTACTATAAGATATACATTGTTTCTTCTTATTTATTTTATCTGAATATTTATATTGATTAAGAAGATATAGTAAATGATGGTTATTGGTTTTTTTAAGAAACGTTTTTATTTTGTAATTGATTATTTGACACCCCTATGAACTTTAATTATTGTAACGAAAACATTTTAATTTCAATGGTTGAGATCATGAGTCAATTGAAGCTAGACCACCATGAAAAAACCTGGAAGCACTGGACAGACGTTTCGTCCCATTGTGGGATTCCTCATCAGCACGCATCCACAATCCGGCCCTCCGGATTCGAACCCAGGGCCTTTAGTCTCGCGCACGAGCTCTTGACCACTAGACTATTGAGCTAGCCGGCATCCAACAGTGTTAAGATCTAACTTCAACCAGTCCACGAAATTGAGCGACACATCCACCAATGTCTTCAGTGAGTAACTATCTGACGAGTCCCGTAATGAGACGAAACGGCCGTCTAGTGCTTCCAGGTTTTCCATGGTGGTCTAGCTTCAATTGACACATGATCTCAACCACTGAAATTACTATAATACCCACAAAACCCTTCTGATTTCAAAAAACATTCTAATCATTTTCATCATATTATATTCACTAAATCTATTGTTAATATTTATATTTACGCAATCTAGTATTGTAATCTTTCTATTACATCATGTTTGTTATTTGTCTTCACATTTCCTCACGGAATTGGTACTTTAACAAAAAAAGATTGTCATATATATACGATTGTACAGCTTGATGATAAATTCGTTGAAAAAAACAGATCCCTTCACTGAACTTCATGTTTTTAATTGATAAATTATCTGTTTTGATGAATGACAAAATTCGATTAAATGAAGGACTATTTTAATGGTTTATCATTTCATTATAAATAGAAAGATATTTAAGGTTATTTCAACAAGGTTAACTGTAGACATAAAGTGAAATACACTTCAACAATATATTCATTATAAAATGAGAATAACTAATGAAAAGTTGAGCAACACCTTGTATGACAACAGAAATATCTGGTCATGTTGTTGGACTAACTATATTTGATGTATTCATTGAAATGAATCCGTTGACAACAATAAGTTTCAATATGAATACGGAATCTTATTAATGTTATATAGAATGTGGTTTAAATCTTAGTTTGAATATATTGTTTCTATATAAAGTGCATTATTTTGTATTAATAGAACAGAAGTCTGGTAATTTCATTATATTTATTACAATACTTTATACAAACCTAGATAAGATTCATTGATGTTTAAAATGTTTTGAAAATCTTAATCTATTTTAAATTCACTTGGTATTGTTCTACTTCAATCTTCCCATTGATGTTTAGAACTGCAATTGATCAGTCTCTTATTAACATGTGGTCATCCTGTACGGATTCCCTCGATATTGCCTTAATTCACAAGTATTATCAACAAAGATGAGTAGTGACTAGCAATAGAATCCAGAAAGCGCATTTTGTCCTATTTGGGACTCGCTAGCTGGATGTACCTTTATCTCAGAATTGATGTTCACTATGTGACTCGAACCCGATACTGTTCGCTTCATACCAAGTGAAATTAAACTTCACTCCATTGCACAAGCAAGTGGTTATCGGGACTCAGTAA